GCCCCACTATCGTCGCTGGCACGTAGGTAGGGGGCTAACTTACGCGAACGCGCGGAATCGCACGGAGTTACGAGGCGAGAAAGTGGGGGGTCCGCGAGACGAGGACGGAGACTCGCGTGGCATTCATCCCACGACCACGATGAGAGCAGGACGAAAGACAGGACACACGCAGTAATGCATTTTACACACGCGCGCGCGCATGTTGTCCAGTCATGCACACACGGTGGGATTTTTTTTTACGCTCGTACACGGTGGTCTTGTTGGTTAGCCGGTGTGGAGATCTGTTGAAGTTTTGCACGAATGAACTCGTCACACCATCCTATACGTCACTTCTATGTTGCTCGTGCGCAGCCAATGGATGTCCCACAAAACCGCAGATTTTGTTTGTTTGGATAATTACACTGAGTCCGGGACTGTGACTTAGACCTCGATGATGGCGTCGATATCATGAATTAATATTGTAAGCCTAAGCTGTTGATATAGCTGTTGATTATAGATATAGAAGTCAATATACGAAAAAAAAAAACATTTTTAAATTCTTAACGAAGAATACATTAGTGTACGTTAGATCAACATAGGTGAAAATGAAATGTTATGTATACCAAACTTTTTTAATTTGTTTGATGGAATGAAATTTTATTTCCAATAAGAAGCAACAGAAAGAAACATAAGAATATTAAAGATAATTATTTAGTATCAAATTGAATTGTCTCAATTACTAGCAAAATTAATAATCAAAATGATACATAAAAAAATAAACTATAGTTATCCGGATTAATAGCTTATATATAATGAAATATACAAAAAATAATTTTAATGATAATCAGAGGCAATCATGTAATATGTAAACGAAATAGATTTCTTAATTTCGCTTATAAACTTGATTGTCTGTAAAATAATAAGTTTTCTAATGATAAAGTGAATCTTGGTAATAAATACAACTAAACAAAGCATACTAACAAACATTTCTACAATTTATATATATAATAAAGTTGTTTAGAGGTAAGATATATGTACGAAGTATTTATAGACGTATGACAAATATTAGAATAAGAAATTATTGTGTGTGTTGTGCATGTATCTATAGAATTATCTGTATGTCTTTTAAAGTATCTATAGAATTATCTGTATGTTTTTTAAAGTATCTATAGAATTGTCTGTATGTTTTTTTTTTTAAAGAAACATTGAGATGAGTGAAAAATGTTATGCGACGAGTTTCTTGAGCTACACAAATGTTCACCATACGTGTGGTTTTCAAAATTAGCTTCATCAAAACAAGATAAAGTTTCCGCTTTGGGCGATAATATTACTGCCAAATTACGTCTTCGATCGCATTGCTGTTCCGCCCGCAGGAAGTGGACAGTACGCGTATGTAGTGCATCCGGTCTTTGAAACGTTACGTTGATAGTGCCAATAACTCGCATATAATTAATGATGCCTACCAACCACTGTTCGCGAGTACGCCACTCCGATATAGACCATTTGTTCCTCCCCCGATGCGGTGAACCATCGCATACGCGTAGTCGCATTAGTTAACCACAACGGCTGTGAAATTCTGGAAACTACGTATGGGAGACGAGAAATTTCTACTCCGAGTAAAACTCGCGTGCGAAAAAGAAATATATCGGCTTAAATAGCTGCGATTGCAAAGTTGAATAAAATCGCGAATGTAAAATTATTGAAGCGCAAACAGTAATAAGTGTTAACGAGCATCCGAGCATAATCTGACATTATATTCGTTTGATATCTGCATAATATTTAACGGCAGCTTAGGCAATATCCATATTTATATGGTTGTAAATGTAAATTTTAGATTTAATTTATTCCTTGCTACACATATATATATATATATATATATATATATATTATTTTTATTATATCCGATGAAAACTTGTTCCGCTACGAAATCAGCAATCACGCCTTCTCTTATCTCATCCTTAAATTATCTTTTACAACCGGATATCGTGTTCCGCGACGCCTTTTATTTCACTAAAGAGCGAGCTCGGCAGGCTGGATACGCAAGATGAATTTCTCTCCTCGACGTTTCGAACGGAGAGATTCCAGGCAGATAGAGCACACCGGCCCCGCTATATGTATATCGGCGCGCAGTCTATAAATCTTCTCGGTCCATAAACAAAGCTTTTGAAAGCGAAAGGTCGTTGCAGCATGTGCGTGACGACCGTCGCTTCGCTCTCTCCGCGAAAGGAACTCGCGAAAGAGACAAGAGAGTAGGAGGAGTAAACTCGCGCGAGGATGGCGAGATCAGAGGCGGGGTGAAACACGGCTGAAAGCTCTGACGGCTGAATTTAACGCCAAACTCATCAAGTCGCAGCTTGCTTCTTCGCGAGAAGGAGTACCTCGGCCAATTTTGTGCTCTTAGCAGCTCCGTCTTCTCGTCTGCCTCGTATCTTGACACACGCATCCCTCCCAAGTTCCTCGAGATTTCGACGACATTATAGACCTGAGCCAGCTGCTGCTTAAATTATCTAGGAAGTACCATTCATAGATCCGTGTATAAT